TTCTTTATTAATGCCAGGCCAACAAAACCGACTAGTTACGAGCTTGACAGTAGTTCGAATACCTGGGTGAGATAAGCCATGCAACGTATTGAAGACGTTACGGCGATAACTTTTAGGCACGATGGGGCGAGGAGTACTCGTGGAAATGTCACATAGAATAGTATCTCTTCCCATACCTAAGGGTTTCTCAGCTAATTGTAGAGTTGTTTTCGACAACTCATGTTGAAGCTCGGTATCTTCTTTTTGAAGACGAGCCAGTTTTACAAGGTCTATGCCGTCGATTTGGGTGAGGGAACAAACGCGCGACAAGGCATCTGCCACAGTGTTGTTTACTCCGGATACATGGCGAATATCTGATGTAAACTGTGAGACGTAATCCAGTTGTCGTGATTCCCTGGGTGAATACTTATCTGAAGGTGAGTTCAGAGAGTACGTCAGAGGTTTGTGATCGGTAAAATTTATGAATTCACGACCCTCTACCGAATGTCTAAAATGTCGTATAGCACAGTACATAGCCAGAAGTTCTCTGCCGAATGTGCTGTACTTCGTTTCAGCTAATTGAAGGCGCCGGGAAAAAGGCGAGTGGTTGCCACTCATTGTCAACTAGCTGTTGTAGAACTGCGCCGATTGCAGTGTTTGATGCATCAACCGAGATACTTAACGGTGCCGTTGGATCCTGATACATCAGAAGTGTGGCATTCGCAATAGCTTTTTTAATCTGGGTAAAAGCATTTCGAGCAGACGCGTCAAGTTCTATGGACTTGTTATTCCCTCGAAGGAGGTCTGTCAATGGCTGAATCAAAGAGGCACAGTTGGGAATAAAGCGTCGATAATAACTTACTAAGCCGTTAAAAGTGCGGAGACTTTTCACCGTCTGTGGCTCTGGAAAGTTCAGTATAGCCTCGACCTTAGTAGCCAGTGGGCGAATGCCCTTGCAGTCAATAGTGTGACCCAGAAAGTCGAGTGAGTCAACACCGATTTGACACTTTTGAATATTAATGGTAACACCATGTTGGCGTAACCTTTCAAATGCCAAGTCCAAGTGCCTAAGGTGAGTTTCCTTGTCTGGACTGGCAATGAGGCAGTCGTCTAAGTATGCGTATACAAAGTCGAGACCGCGAAATACTTCGTCAATGAAGCGTTGGAATGTTTGGGCTGCATTCCGGAGACCGAATGGCATACGTAGAAATTCAAAAAGTCCGAAAGGCGTAATGATAGCCGTTTTCGGGATATCTTCTGTTGCCATCGGGATTTGGTTATACGCTTTAACCAAGTCGATTTTGGAGAATATAGTCGCGCCGGATAAGGTTGCCGTCAAGTCGTGTATATGAGGCAACGGGTAGCAATCAGGGGTTGTTTTGGCATTCACTCGCCGGTAATCACCGGTGGGTCGCCAATCATTGCTATCCTTTTTCGGAACCATATGAAGTGGGGATGCCCATGGGCTATTCGAAGGTCGAATGATGCCAAGGGTAAGCATATGGTCAAATTCATTCCTGGCGATTCTCAGTTTGTCAGGAGCTAATCGTCGTGCTTTAGATGTCACAGGTTGTCCTGTGGTAATGATGTGGTGCATAACATTGCTGGTTATGCACGGTAGGTCGTTCGACGGGCAGTTAAGTTCCGGATACTTGTCAACATAGGTTGAAAAGTTGGATCAAGAATTGCCTTTATCTTAACGGGTGACAAACTAGGGCCTATGTAGCTGATGCCTTTGATAGACAGACTAGTAGTATTGTCAATCAGTCGTTTTCGGCGGACGTCTACGAGTAAATCATGATGATTAAGTAGGTCCGTGCCAATGATGGGCATTGTAACGTCAGCGAGAAGGAAAATCCATCGAATAGGTTTGCGTAAACCTACGTTCAGATAGACGTATTTCCTACCAAAGGTTGCGATTGGTTTTCCATTTGCAGCCTGTAAGTTGAAGGTAGGTTCCTTCTGTCGATCTGCTGCTGTAGCAGGAAGGACGCTGACTTCGGCGCCTGTGTCGACTAAGTATCGAGTCTGGCTTATCACATCATGGATGTAAAGTAGGCGGCTAGTGCCACCGGCGACGGTTGCCGCTAACGCGTGCCGGCGGGATAGTTTCCCGCAGACTTTGAGACATTTCCGAAGTTACAAGGCTTACGGCAACACTTCGCTTCTTGGCCATAGGTGTTGTGGTACCAGCACCAGTCAGGGTTTTTCAGTGAACGTGGTTTGGACTTAGATCGACCACGTGAGTTCCTGCGTTGAGGAGATTTAGGACGACGGTCGGAGGAGTTAGAATGCATGTTCGACCTAAACATCTGCTGGATGGAGTTGCATAACTCTATCATTGCAGGATCCTTACTCGAAGTCTGCTTAGTCATCGAGCATATTTCGGGAACAGACCGTTTAGTTATTTCTAGAATCCTATCTGCAGTAATAGCTAAGTCCTCTATTACAGTACCCTGAAGTGTCACAAGTACGGTCTGTACAGACTGTGGCAGCTTGGTTAAGAAGAGTTCTCTAAACAGTCCTTCGTCGAACTGACTTTGGCCGACGACTTTCTTCATTCTTGTCAGCATGCTCACGGCTGACTGATCTCCTAACTCGATGTTACGAAATAATTCATCTAGACGTTGTCGGTCCGTGAGAACGTTTCTCCTGAGGAGGGATGCTTTGAGCAACTCGTACGAGTTACTTACCTCGGGACTCAACATCTGTGATGTTACGTACTTGCTGAATTCCCGCGGTAGGGCGTGAATAACTGCAAGTAACTGTGAACGTTGATCGGTTATCCCATGCTCACAAAAATCTGCTTCAGCTAGCAGAAACCACGTTTCAGCATTATCTGGCCAGTATGGTACGAGCTGAATGGTTTTAGGAGTTGAGCGGATACGGATGACCTTGGGACTAAGATCACTCATGACGAAAATTATGTCGAATAATATATGGTACAAGAACAAATACAAAATGGAACGAACTCACCGCGGTTATCTGCGGATTTATCGTGGATGAAGTTCGCGGTTGGGCTCACCAGATTAAAGGGTTGATGGAAGTATCTTACACAACCTCTAAATTATTCCCGCGTACCGAAAACAAAGCGAAGGCCAATAATTGATCGTCCAAACTACGTGATATATTTCGGAAACAAAACAAGCCGTCAGACGAACGATTAGCTAGCTAGTGATCGTGCACGTGACACGAAGGGTTACCAAATGGCGGGGATGCTTGACCGGAAGCCTTCAGCTAAACAAGTCGACTTAAACAGTGGTGGTCAGCATCCGATGAGTGATTGCTATGGTCAATAATTTTGGGGAATTATTTACCGCTACAACGTCCGTATAGATTTGCTTGGACCCCTTCCTGAATCACATGGATATACCTATATTTTAACTTGCATCGATCAATTCGCACGATGGCCGGAAGCACTGCCCATTAAGGACGTATCTGCTGAAACAGTCACATGCATCTTTGTAGAAAGATGGATCGCAAACTTTGGATGCCCATCTTCCATAACAACTGATCGCGGGCGGCAATTCGAAAGTGGCTTATTCTTCGCCCTGACTAAAATCATGGTTGCATGCGTTTTCGAACAACAGCCTACCATCCTCAAGCTAATGGTATGGTAGAACGTCTACACGGACAGCTGAAAGCTGGTCTGTCAGCCGCAAACACCACCCATTGGACTGAATCCCTTCCGTTAGTTCTCCTAGAGATACGAAACGCCTTGAAAACCGATGCTGGTTGTACTAGCGCCGAGCTAGTATATGACACGACACTGCGACTGCCTGGTGAATTTGTTTCTCCCTCGAGCTTCCCACCAGTGGTAGATCACGCTTCATACGTCAGTAGGCTTACAAACGCAATGCTTTCAGTTAAACCTGCCCCCCTTCGTCCACAGTCCATTGATGTTTTTGTTCATCCGTGTTTGAAAACTTCTTCACATGTATTTGTTCATCGCGACTCTGTGCGCAGACCCCTGGAACCCCCATACGACGGACCTTATAAAGTAATTAAACGTTCTGATAAATTCTTTGTCTTAGACAAAAGAGGCCGCGAGGACAACGTCAGCATTGACCGTCTGAAACCGGCTTACTTGGAGGGTAATCCTATTAGCATAGAGGTCAACGTACCCCAAAATCCACAATTAACCGAAGATCGTTTAGTCCTCGATGAAGTCACTAGCACAGCGACGGCTACCGAATCTTCTGTCGAGCCCTCGAAGAAAACACGTTCAGGAAGTACCGTAGGATTTCCAGAATATCTTCGCACATATATAACATAACTGGGTGGTGCTATTCACCCAACTCATTTGTCTGTTGTATTAATTTATTTTTCTTTTCAGACATCAGTTTTTTCATATAGCATCACCAAACACAAGTAAAACAATTTTTCTAACCGTACAGTTTGCATGCACTAAAAAAATTTAGATTTATACTTTTTCGACGTTCTAAACTTTGTATTATTTTACTGTATGCTAGATGCACACAATTTTTTTATAAAAAACTCCGATTTGGTACATTTTCCTCGACATGGTTCTTAGCATTCTTGTTTTCTTTTCCAGGTGCGACGGGCACTGGACAAGAAACAAACGAAGCACGGAATCCAACGAACAACATCGACGAAGCGATGTACAAACACCCTATTAGAATAGGCAGACAGACCAGTAGGCATATCACAAAGCCGCTCGGAAGATTTTTTTTCACCCGAAAGGGAACCATCGAGTTTTTTTACTTCCGGCTGGTTCTGTCTTAGGGTCCTCACGACCCCACTAGGGGAGGAGTGAGCTGTAGCGGTAAATAATTCCCCAAAATTATTGACCATAGCAATCACTCATCGGATGCTGACCACCACTGTTTAAGTCGACTTGTTTAGCTGAAGGCTTCCAGTCAAGCATCCCCGCCATTTGGTAACCCTTCGTGTCACGTGCACGATCACTAGCCAGCTAATCGTTCGTCTGACGGCTTGTTTTGTTTCCGAAATATATCACGTAGTTTGGACGATCAAATACTGTCTTTTTTTGTCTTTGGTCCATGAGAAACGAATACTATAGAAGCTGTTGGTATAAGGTCTTCAGTTAGTGTACCTCGTACAATTCGCGAACGTTTATACCGTTAGCCTTCAAAGGAACATTCACGGCTAGCTTGTCATAATCTTTCCAATTCAATTTCTTCCTCTATTTGGACTATACGCATTTTCGCTAGCTCCAAATCTGCCATGTAGTTTGATTTATACTCGTTGCTCCCAGGGGCATAAGTGTCACTACTCTTTTCTGACTGTGGAGGTAACGCCGGCATAGTTTCATATTTTTCATCTACCATGATACTGTTTGAAACTTTGTAGGATTAATTTTGACCACTGATTTAGTCCTTCCGCTCAGTACTGACAACACAGCTTAACTATAGTTAAAAACAGAGTGACATAACTTAAACTTTATCTGCTTCTAAAACATAAAATAAATCATACAATTATACCAAGAAAAATATGTAAACCCATTGTCACACAAGAAACGACAAAAACGTACCGAACAGTATTCTTGTGGGAACGAACAAAATGAACAGTTAATTAATTACATGTACCCACAAATAAAGTAACAGAAAACAAAGAACACTCAAGGCCACACCACGTGGTGTGAGTTGCATTAAATTAACCCATAATCGCAACAAAAGAGTCACATCATATTGATTGGCTGTCTATCATACAGTCTATCTATCTGTGGCGATTAACAGTCCGCACGCAAATGATGATTGATTTTACGCGTAAGTCTCGCACAGATACTCACTATCTGCCTGACCGGGTGGATGGGTATGAAGAAATCGCCAGGAACCCGCAGAAACATACTGCTTTTCAGTGGAACATCGTTCTAGAAAGCTTTCTTCGCCATGTCAATGACGCCTTGTGAGTGCAGCTAGAGTTTATCTATGATCTTTGAAAGATCACTACCTAACGTTGCACCTATCAAAACTTGCTATTTGGCTGCTGTTGCAGGGCCACTCGGTATGCCTACTTCAACCTCCTCAGAACGACAACTGTAACTTCCATCCAATACCCTAGCAAAATCTGACTCAGAATAAAGCAAGATGTTAGGACTCATCCTGAAATGCATCTGTGTCAGGCAAAGAGATCACCTCTCTGACGAGTCGCTTTTTACTCTCATATAAGCTAGCTCAAAAGAACATGAATAACAACAGAAAGCAACTGTTGACGAGGATCTAGCAAGTAATGCAGCTTTGGGCTTAGGGTTTAATGACGGACACAGGGCCTCTGAGATGCAGCAAGATTTTCATAATTCTGGTTAAAGTTGAGTGTTTTCTGATTTACACCAATACGAAAAAGTTGTAAGCAGCAAGACCTAACGACACACGCGTTAAATTAACATTATCAGATATCATACTGAAGGCTGACCTTCTGATAACAACTGTTGAGGGATGAAAAGTACAGAGTTCGGGATTTCAAGCGATAGCGAGTAGTTGGTGAAAAACAATCGGACACATGAAGGTAGAAATAAAACGAGATAAAATCATAATGATGGTGTACCGAGTGAATGAACATACGATTCATGAATCAACCTGTGACAACATTAATGGAGCTTTCCAATGGACTCTTGTCTTGTTTTTTCTTATGGAGGTTTAAATGGTGATTGGATATCCAGACGGAGCTTCTGATTCGGTCCGATCTACAAAGGAATTGAGCAATATGCGGGCCTGAATCTCCTTAATTGTCAGTCACTAAAACAGGTTTATATTCCAAACTTTCCGTCGACTCCTGCAACGTGTGTGTGTGTCACAGGTCTCGTTATCCCCGTGTCCACCAATCAGTGATGAACATGGGACACCTGCATTCGCTCTCAAACTTTTGTAAGGACAGCTCACGTGCATGAACGGTACTTATCTGGTAGAGGTTACGAAACTATGACTATATGAGAGCATTTTCAAAGGGGTGATTTGAGTCTAGAGTATCAAGTCTGCTAGTTAGATCTGCAGGGATAATATCACTACATACCCAACCAGTTCAATTTTTCGTTAAGTGGTACTTTAGAGCTGACCTATAAACTATCTGTATTTATCAAAGTTTTAAGTCAATCAATCATTTCCCTACAAACTGAACATGAAGGTTTGAACAACAAAAAAAGCTACCACTTAACTTGTCCACGTTGCCATAGAAATATCTTCACATTAGTGTGGTTCATTGTTGATATATGTTGTATTTCAAAATGACTGTCTCATAACAGAATTCAAGAATCACTTTCATTACCCTACGTGATCAGAGTGTTGTGCAGGTAGGAATAGTCTGGCAACTTAAGATACCACAGACTCAAACTCGTAAAGCCAAGTTCTAAGTGGTACTAGTATTTCGCAAGTTCATTCACCGATAGACTAAATAGACAAATGTGGCTATACAAAATATATATTGCATATTATTATTATTATCACTTAGTACAACCAAAACGTTATGTGGATCACTTTAGCATGGTTTTACGCATGCAAATCATGCAATATAGTGTGGCCAGTTACACAGAAGTTCCTCATCATACTTCATTTCACCAGTATCATGTTTCAATATGAAGGCCAGGCCCCTGTAGTTTTACTTTTGTTGGATCGTACTGTGTTCCACGAAAAGGTGAACCTTCCTTGTCCCAAGCCTTTGCCAGCACGTTTTGTATTTTCTAAAATATAAGAATAAATGTTGTAGACTTGCAAGCACATTTTATACAAGAGCTTAAAGATGTGTGTAAACTATATCAAAAAAAAAACAACCAACAGTTTTAAGTTCTAAAATATTAAAAACTCATATTCTTATTATGACTGTAGTATTGGCGAGCGCTATTTAGCAAACATCGATCTATGCGTTTTTTTTTCATTTACACAGCATGAAGTTGTTATATTGAAAACACATAACGTCGCTAAGGCGATCTCTTTTTTCACAACTTCTCTTTAAGCTTGTAGTACACTTTATTTAAGAGTTCAAATATACCATGGTCAATTGCCAACATAGGTCAGGTAACTGTCATATTAATATATGTGCAAAAACTTGTGCACTGTGATAGTAAGTAATTCCATATTAGTTTGTTTATGAGATGTACCACACACAGTGATGAAACAGTATTATTTACTGGATGACAAGGTTTCGAACAAAATTTATTCCTGTTCATAATCATATCATCAATTGTAATCACTCGACTTTGAAACTTGATTTTTATAGTTTTCTTTCTTTTCTCCTATTTTTCGTCGGTGGAGTAGAATTTTCCAGATATCTGGGACAGATGGTGAGTCATTCCTGTTACACGTATTCTCTTCAGTTGATTCGATAAATAAAGCTTCTGTTATCAATCTCTCCCTCCATTTACCCTGTGACATTAGATTTTAAAACTGTCATCCTATCCCATCCACCCTGCTGTATGGTTGTGTGTAACTGCATGTAGTGCATGTATGGCCAGCTGAACTATTCTCTAGACTTCTTGCCATCTTATTTGGGTCAACCAATCTAGATTTTGCTAAGTTTTCATGTTCAGCTAGTCTGACTGTCCCTGTTCTACTACTATGACCTATGTATTTGACCTGACAATCATTGTAGGTAGGATATTAGATAAACTAAATTGTTTTGCTTTAACGGCTCTACAGTCAGGATCGTTTAACCGACAAAGCTTGTTTCTGAGTGGGTGTGTGGGTTTGAATGCCAGCCACTTTTATTGCTGCCTGCCTTGTTAAGAATTCTGCGTAAGGCTTCCGAGGTTCCTTCCTTGTATGGAATTACTGTTGATGATTTAGATTCCTTATGGTTGGTGTCGTCATTAATATTATTATTATAATAATTACTACTATTATCATTATTATCACTATTATTGATAATAATAATAATATTAATGACGACACCAACCAGAAGGAATCTAAATCATCAACAGTAATTCCATACAAGGAAGGAACCTCGGAAGCTTACCAGAATTCTTAACAAGGCAGGCAGCATAAAAGTGGCTGGCATTCAAACCCACACACCCATCAGAAACAAGCTTTGTCGGTAACATCTGACTGTAGAGCCGTTAAAGCAAAACAATTTAGTTTATCTAATACCCTGCCTACAATGATTGTCAGGCCAAATACATAGGTCATAGTAGTAGAACAGGGACAGTCAGACTAGCTGAACATAAAAACTTAGCAAAATCTAGGTTGGTTGACCCAAATAAGATAGCGAGAAGTCTAGAGAATAGTTCAGCTGGCCATACATGCACTACATGCAGTTACACACAACCATACAGCAGGCTGGATGGGATAGGATGACAGTTTTAAAATCTAATGTCACAGGGTAAATGGAGGGAGAGATTGATAACAGAAGCTTTATTTATCGAATCAACTGAAGAGATACGTGTAAAGGAATGATCACATGTCCCAGATATCTGGAAAATTCTATCCCCGACAAATAGGAGAAAAAAAGAAAACTATAAAAATCAAGTTTCAAAGTCGAGTGATTACAATTGATGATATGATTATGAACAGGAATAAATTTTGTTCGAAACCTTGTCATCCAGTAAATAATACTGTTTCATCACTGTGTGTGGTACATCTCATAACAAACTAGCCTTCGTTCAATACTGGAGATCGGGTAGCCAAAAAGGATGAGGATAAGGAATTCTGGCTAGTAGAGTGAAAAGTAGATGTGTTATTGAAGCCCTATGTTCCACTGGCAACCCAAAAGAATAATCATGATGGTAATAATAATTACTCCTAAAAGGTACGTTTGAATTCACTTATACAAATGAGTGTATTTGGATCAGGTATAGCTTTAGTGACGATAGTTTCTCTGTCTACCAATGTACCCCCACCCACTCAATGACGGGAACTGCATACTGTCTTCTTGAGTTTATCAACTCAAATAATTTCAATGTTGACATACCTACGAAGTATATCAGAACATATTGAATGTTCAGCTTTTATTCGACGGTGAAATAAACCAACAGAAAGATGTAGCAGCATTTGGATGCTCTACTTCGTTTATTATTCTCTCTGACTGTTTCATGGTATATCTGGAATCGAACAAACTCCAATCAACCACCAGTCAAGTGAAAGCATACAAGCGATACACAGTTGAATGTAAGATTGAAGTTGAATCAGAAGATGTATTATCCTTCCTACATGTTTAGTGAAGATGTGGCTCATTGGCTCAAGCACCCAACTTCCAGTAAATGGAGCCTTAGTTCCAATCTCACTCTACCTGCTTTAGATTGGGCAACTAAGCAGTATCACCAGCGCACCCCTTAGTGGCTGTGTGTGACTCATGTCCTAGCACCTGGTAGTCGAGTTCTAACCATCCTAGGTATTTAGCTTTCAAGATCGGATGGATCACTGCAATAAGCAATTTCGACAACACAATAAGAAGACGTAGTTTATGTGAAATGTGTATATATATATTTGCGCAACACATTTCGGACATTCGGATCACACTCCTACTTGTCATACAGTTATCTAGAAGGCATGAATCATTTCAATACAGGTCAAGGTCACAAATAGTGGGTAGGGAGATGACGTAGAGGTGTGGATAAGAAAGGAAGGAGAAAAAAACAGAAACAAGTGGTTGAAAATATTATGAAGTAAATTGAGCCTTGGTTCTAAATTGGATTACCAAGGCACATTTAAAGTAATAACAAATAACTTTTGGACCCATAAAACAGGTTTAAGTCTTTTTATGGTCAAGGTTTCAACGAATTTAAGTATGTGACTCAAATTTGTTTTATATATGTGTTTAAAGGCATTACTGACATCAGCCTTATGACTCATCGCTAAAATGTGCTACGCTATAGATGATGTTGGACATATATCTCCGTGATCAACTGTATCCAGAGATTTCATTTGTTGTTGTAGCCACTCCGGGATATGTTCTGTAGCTCAAATCTGCAGAGACCGATGGGTCCTCCCTAAGTACGTGTGTCCACAACTACATGTAAATTGATAACCACAGTGGGATGTAACATTATCGTTCGGATGGTGTAAAGACTGCATAAATCTCCTTTTGTCTATTGAGAATAGGTCTAGCTGCACAGAAATTCCAATTAATTGCCACCTTGATTCCTTGTCTAGTGACCAGACTATGTTGATCACCGCTAAACGGCAAGGATCTATGAATATCTTTTTGTAAACTGATTGCGTCGGTTGACACTTCTGCAAGGCTTAATGAATTTCAGCGGGTAATTGTTATCTGACAATATTTCAGTGAGGTGTTGCGTTTCCTCTTCAATTGTGTTGGCAGTACATATATGGTGAGTGCGTTTGAATATATATATATATATATATATCCAGTGGAGGACGTAGTGGGTAAAGTTCATTTTTATAAGAGATACGTGGATGACATAATTGTCATTTACGAGTTGATCACGGATTGATATCAGTTAGAGAACCACTGAAAACCGGGGAGTACTGGACAGCTGCTGTTTCATCCTAGTTTCGGAGTCATCGGCAGTACGTACCCACCAACAGGGTTCGAACCCAGGACCTTCAGGTTACAAGGGAAGCTGGCTGGTATACCATTCAGCTACTGGGACCCGATTCAATGGCTCATGAATTCTAACCTCTACCAATTTGTGATTTAGCTCGACACCAACCATTATTGTTGGTGGGACATCCATCCACACACGTGACATCTAGTTGGACCTCACTGGTCACGACTTCTCACTAGAACTCAGGAAACTCCAACCTGTTGCACGCCATTAGCGAGCATCAGATTAATTTTCTATAGTTTGGTTTGTAAGGGTTAGTTATGCTTTTACGAGTTGATCACGGATTGATATCAGTTAGAGAACCATTGAAAACCAGGGAGTACTGGACAATGGCTGAATGGTATACCAGCCAGCTTCCCTTGTAACCTGAAGGTCCTGGGTTCGAACCCTGTTGATGGGTACGTACTGCCGATGATTCCGAAACTAGGATGAAACAGCAGATGTCCAGTACTTCCTGGTTTTCAATGGTTCTCTAACTGATATCAATCCGTGAACAACTCGTAAAAGCATAACTAACCCTTACAAACCAAACTATAGAAAATAATAGTCATTTGTGATAAATCGACAGACGCTATAGAAATCCTAAACCAGATCAATACAGTACAAAACAGCATATCGCTAACACACGTTAAGGGAAATAATGACTACTAGCCATTTTTAAATGTACTCATAACCCACCGACAAGATGGGTCAGTGAAACGATTCGTCTACAGAAAATTCACATGGACGGGACAGTATCTAAATTATCGTAGTTTCTGTCCACTAGTGTATGAAAAAAGGCGTTGGTTAAGTGTTTATTCAAACGCACTCACTATATATGTACTGCCAACACAATTGAAGAAGAAAGACAACACTTCACTGAAATATCGTCAGGTAACAATTCATTATGCGTTACGGAACTGTCAACACCAAAGAGCTCTACCGATCCAATTATTACCTTCTTGCCTTCTATAAAAACTGTGTATGACAAGTACGTGTGTGATTAGAATGTCCGAAATGTGTTGCACAAATACATTACACGTTTCAGATAAACTACGTCTTCTTATTTTATTGTTAAAGTTCATAGAGGGAACTCTAACTCCTATAAAAATCAATTTACGCTCCTTAAGCCAAAATAGACACACAACAACTAACTAAATTTTATAGTTTTCTTCTAGTAAGCAGGAGTAGAAATCTCGTCTCTGCAATGACGACAATCGACCGCATTTGTACTGGAAGTACATTATAAATAAGGATCCTTCAGAAATATATTATGAATATATATACACATACATATATATTTTCATTTTTAGAGGACTTGTTAACTGCTTTTCACTTTGTAATATGGCATTGTCTTTCCCTCCATTCCTTCAGCTTGAGGATTTCTGACTTCCATTGAATGTAATCTCACCAGCCTAATACAACAATTTCACTACTTTGGTCAAGACGCCTAAGAATCACGTCCGTATGTATTATTGCACAATCGTGTTCTGATTCCTTTGATGTGGTCTCATTGTCAATTCTATTTTCTCGGTATGCTGCATAGTGTAAACCCTATTAAATTTCTGTGTGTGTGTGTGTGTGAGCCACCTCCAATTCTTTGTGATCTTGTTTTCTACAAATTCTTTCCAATTAACTATTCATCACGTAACTACATAGTTATCAACACTTCCTCGATTACGTAAGATTGATTACTCACTGCTTTTCACACATGGTTATTTCCCATACACTTTGTTGTGTCCTTGTTACTAACTGACAGTAACCTGTAATTCCATATTAGTTTGTTTATGAGATGTACCACACACAGTGATGAAACAGTATTATTTACTGGATGACAAGGTTTCGAACAAAATTTATTCCTGTTCATAATCATATCATCAATTGTAATCACTCGACTTTGAAACTTGATTTTTATAGTTTTCTTTCTTTTCTCCTATTTTTCGTCGGTGGGGAATTAGAATTTTCCAGATATCTGGGACAGATGGTGAGTCATTCCTGTTACACGTATTCTCTTCAGTTGATTCGATAAATAAAGCTTCTGTTATCAATCTCTCCCTCCATTTACCCTGTGACATTAGATTTTAAAACTGTCATCCTATCCCATCCAGCCTGCTGTATGGTTGTGTGTAACTGCATGTAGTGCATGTATGGCCAGCTGAACTATTCTCTAGACTTCTCGCTATCTTATTTGGGTCAACCAACCTAGATTTTGCTAAGTTTTTATGTTCAGCTAGTCTGACTGTCCCTGTTCTACTACTATGACCTATGTATTTGGCCTGACAATCATTGTAGGCAGGGTATTAGATAAACTAAATTGTTTTGCTTTAACGGCTCTACAGTCAGGATCGTTTAACCCACAAAGCTTGTTTCTGAGTGGGTGTGTGGGTTTGAATGCCAGCCACTTTTATTGCTGCCTGCCTTGTTAAGAATTCGATATCGTTTTGTTTTTATTTATTGGGAAATACAAAAACATTTATTATAATGAATATGATATACCCGATGCCCAAATTTTTTCAAACCATTAAAAGTGAACTTGGTTTGGACATATATATAATCTTTTCGAGAAATATAAATTCTTCCTCTTATTTTCTGTGTAGCATATTTTCCTTGGTCTATTAGTATAGAGTGTTGACTAGTGCTCGTTTAAGGCTATTTGGACAAAGCCATTAAAATGTAGGTATTGTCCATTCCATATAGACTTTCGGTAAATTGACCTCTGGAGAATACCATTTTCCAGGCGTTGCATGACAATGTCAAGGAAATAGAACTATCCATCATTTCCATGTTCCATAGTAAATTTCATATTTGTATGTGCGTCGTCGCTGAATAATCCGAGTAAGCAGGAAGCATAACTTTGGTTGTTGCCTACTGAAAATATGTCATCAAAATATCGACAATCAGAAGTTGTCTCGTCGATTACCTGCTTTAACTTTGTTTTCTTAAAGTTGGAAATGGAGATACCAGCTAAAAAAAACACAGCTAAGTGGACTGTCCATCTCTATTTGGCTGTTAAAATTGTTGTCAAACTGGAATTATTGTACATCCGAATAGATATTCAACCTCTGTCAATAAACAATTTAAAGAGAATGAACAATGTTCCGCGAAACTCGAAGAAATTCAAGGTTGATACAATTATTGAGGTCTTCCAAAGCCATCTATTGAAAGCAATTTGAAGAACCTTCTTCGCTATAATTCTACGCACCTCACCTATTCTCCGCATGCTCTGTCTGGTTCACTAAAACACCAAAGACAATACATATAGTGCTCTTGACAACTCCATTGTGTATTTAGCAGTTCCACTTGCACCCGTGGAATTAAGTACATAGGCCATACCAGCGAAGCATCGTGTGGTTACACTCATGAACACCTACCAGCATGATTGTTAAATGAAGGAACACGGAATAGTTGACAGCTTAGTTCTGGAGCAAATTATTACTTCTGATCATGCAGCATTAGCAGTGTGAAGTGGTATAATAGAGTAAGCAGTATTGAGGTTAGGCGTCGAGTGCTAAATAAGGAGGGGAAATCAATCGACGAGGTTGTCAGATGGTTAGGACATGTTTTACGTATGCCTAGCCATCGCCTTCCTCGATAGGCAATGTCTTGAAGCGATTTCTGAGATGTCCTTTATATATATATATATATGGAAGGGCGATTTTCTTTGTGCTTTCCTTGAGTGTAAAACATTTGTTTATCTTAAATTTGTATTTCCCAATGACTGATTATATGGCACCAGAATGCTTGATCTCTGTTAGCAGTTTGGACTTCACTGCTGGTCAGTATCCATAAAATAAAATGATAATCCCAAGACACCTTTGAAGCCACCAGTAATAGGAGCAAGTCAGGTCAACAGGTCACCAATAATATTCCTAATTGTGGTGGACTAGATCATGCGGAAAACCGTGGGGAAAAATAAGACAGGATTACGTTGGAAGACATTCTAGAAGACGTGAACTTCGGGGACGATATATGCCTAATGTGACAAAAATTTTAAGATTTACAGGCAAAAACCAACAACAAGTTAGCGGAAAAAGCAGCGAAGACAGGAATTCAAATGAACATAGACAAAACAGAAGCGATGTGACAATACATAACCGACAACAACAAGCACCAATTAACATTAACGGGAGGAAATTAGAGGAAATCACCTCTTTGGCTTATTTGACCAGCATGGATGAGGTTACCAAAGGCAGGATTGGAAAGGCAAGACAGACACGTTCGTTAATTTGAAATCAGCGTGAAAATCTATTGCACACAGGGTCAAGAAAAACATTCCGATATTTAGCACACCCATGTAAAGTCAGTGCTTCTATATGGTTCAGAAACTTGGTGCGCCACCAAGACTATTTCCGACAACCTGCTGCAGACTTTTTCCAACTGCTACCTACCTTCACTGGCTCCCTACTGAATATAATAGGATAGTCGAAAACAACGACCACAACAAGGAAATTTGGCAACAAACACCAACCAAGAATCGATTCCACAATAAAAATATGCCGAAGAGAATCCAGATGGATTAGACATACGTTGAGAAGACCATTGAGTGACATAGCTCGCCAGACAAAGCCTAGAATGGAACCCGAATGAGAAAAGACGAGTTGAGCGTCCGAGGGTGACATGGAGTAGATTGTACGAGGAGGAGATTAGAGACCATGGCAATGGTGGGGTCTCATCTAAACAGGACCGCAGAGGGAATAGGACAAAGTGGAGATGAACTGTTGAAGCAATATTTTCCGCTCGGAACACCCAAGGGAACAATAATAATATGATCCATCAACGCGAAATATTAAATTAAACAAATAATAATTGATACCCATAACACAGTGAAGTGACTCTCATGGCCCAAATGGTATATCGGATAGCGCTTTGGAGTTTAAAACGATGGCTACCGGGTTTGAATCTCAGCAGAAAAACACCATCACTCACTAGGAATGCAGGTACACCTGGCTGACAGACCACAAATAGCGTGAAAAGCCCATCCCAGATTCCACTGTTTGTCAACATCCACCAAACAGTAATAAGGGTAGTGAAGATATTGAAAATTCTAACAGTGAAATGTGGACAAATTTGAGTTTTGATTAATCCAATCGATCATTAAGAAAAGGGAGCTTTATGATGCTTATCCTACTAATGATTTAATTGAATTTTAGATTTTCCCCGTCGACTGATTGGACCGAAGTGCTCGGTCTCTTGTGAAGATGCTTCGACGATATCTGAGCATGTAGTTAGAATTTAACTGGAGGGATGGTAACTAGCAGTGGAATCCAGGACAATGCGCATTTCGTCCTATTTGGGACTCGTCGGCTGGATGTACCTGCACTCCTCAGTGAGTGGTAATGCTCCCACCGAAGCTCGAATCCAGTGCCCATGGTTTCAAACGCCAAAGCGTTATCCACTAGACTACTTGGGCCACGACAGCCACCTACATCCGGGTGACGAGTCCCAAATAGGACGAAATGCGCATCCTGGATTCCACTGCTAGTCACCATACACCAGTTAAATTTTATCTTATTAATGACTTATACCTTTTTCGCTTGAAGGACTGATTTTTGACATATCACTAACATCACATGACTGACAGTAATTATAACACCAACAAAAATTATTTAAATTGACGAATGTGTCGATGAGTGCTAATAAAACCAAGACTTACTTCTTGCTCACTGGTAGGCAATCCCTGACGTTTACGATGTTCATCATACATTAGTTGTTGTATTTTAGCTTGAGCTTCGGGTTCTAATTCATGGATAGGCCGACGGCAGTCAATTTTCCGAGGGTTTATTTTGTCTTCACCAACAAACGCCGCCACCCACCAACGCTCTTGAACTTTGTCCAGACATAAGTGAATCTTTACTCAAGAAATAAGGTAAAATATGGTTGTATACTTTTCGGTAAGTATTGATTACTTACATTCATTTAGTAAATAACATAATTAAGATCAGGTTAAAAATTATTATTATTATTATTATTATTATATATCCCCAACATCATATCTGATAAAAAAATATTTGGGATTGTTATTTGAATACAGACAAGTTGTAAAACAGGAAGTGTAGCCGAAGTGTTTTCCAACATATATCCTGCAATCTATCATATTCTTCCTCAAGGTTGAACCTGTTTGTTAGACTATTTTTTTTCCATAGTTGTATGCATATCATTCTAACAGTTTTAGATACACATGTCGAACAATATGCATTTATTTTATTATACCACTGAAGCCACCAGCTTTGATAGCGAAGGCAACAGATCGTTTATTGGGAAAATCAGAAGATATTTATAGATTTTTATGCGCATGATTATATTAGCGTTACTGTTAGCTGAGAAGCAGCAGTCTCTTTTGATTGTTTGTCTTCTTGCTGAAGGTCACTCTGTCTTCTTTCATTGTGGCCATTTCTCAGAAAACTAAGTCACATATCTATGAATCATATTACAACACATTTTAACTCAGCTGTGATTGGGGCTGGTGATTTTCTCAAGGTCAAGCCTTGTTATTGTTTTTCTCTCATGATCCTGATTTGGGACGTGAACACTGACATAAATTGTTGCCTATCAATTTCGGCTTGCAAACAGCTCACACCACAATACTATACAACATTTGTCGCTATACTGCATTCTTTATAAGAAGTATTTCTCGTGTTATTATATGCTAACCGATTCATTTAGAGAAAATGACTGCAATAAGGAAATATTTCCTTGTTATTTCTGCTCCTGACCCTAAGGAATTCTGTCCTTCATGAAATTAAAATCATCAATTATTGTCATTCGGGATTTCATCATGAGCTGACATTAGTTAGAGAACCATTGAAAATGAACGAAATATTCCCATATTGAGTCATAAGAAAAGGCACAAACAGCCAAGAAAATTTTCTTTTCGACGATTCATTTTCATGAGCTGTACAATCGTAATTATAATTAAACACATAAGTTTTTGACCAATCAGATACTGGTAAACTTTGTCCTTGAAAATTCTACTACATAGTGTGAGGTGTAAGAAGGGATACCTAATTGTAAGTTATGTGTTTAATCATAATTACGATTGTACAGCTCATGAAAATGAATCGTCGAAAAGAAAATTTTCTTCGCTGTTTGTGCCTTTTCTTATGAACCTGGGAGTACTGGACAGCCAACTGTTTCGCCCTAGTTTGGGACTCTTCAGCAGTATGCACCCACCGGGATTCGAACCCAGGACCTTCCGGCTACAAGGCGAGCTCGTATACCATTAAGCCACTGGGACCCAATCCAGTGATCTCCAATGAAACTGTTTTGTTTTTCTTTATTACTCCTTTGTCTCACACCTCTGCTCACTGTTTCTATTATGCTTTTCTTGTACTTTCTTCTCTTGCTTCGCGTGCTACACGGAGTGTGGCGACTTGAAATGCCGCACATTTGTGCAAAGTTCTATGTCGAAAACAGACAGACAGACCCAATCCAGTGGCCAGCCCATGAATTCTAACTTCTGTCAATTCACGACATAGCGCGACCCCTAGCCAATGTATTCGGCGATTATTTGTCCTCACACACTCTAACCTGCTGCCCCCTACTGGTCACGACTTCCCACTTCCAGTGGGAACAGTAGGGTACCAGTAGGGTACAACAGGTTGAAGGTGAGGACAGTTACTCATTGAAGAAGACATTGAGAAGTGGTGGCGTTATGTCGTGAATTGGCAGAAGTTAGAATTCAAGGACCATTGGATCGGGTCCCAGTGGCTTAATGGTATACGAGTTCGCCTTGTAACCGGAAGGTCCTGGGTTCGAATCCCGGTGGTTGCGTATTGCTGAAGAGTCCCAAAGTAGGACGAAACAGTTGTGCAGTACTCCCAGGTTTTTCAATGGTTCTCTAACCAATGTCAGCTCATGATGAAATCCTGTAACCAATCAACCAAATCCCTACAAACCAACACCGGAATATTATCATTCCCTTGCCTTGCTCAACAAAATTCGAAATAAATTACTCGTTACAAGCATCTATTACAAACTGAAACAGTATCTAACCCAGAAAAGGTAAGCCCATAGAAACTCAAAATATGCTACGTAAGTTATTCCACACTTTTGGGAGTTTAAATATGTTAGTCATTTAAAATTGAGACAAGTTGTTAACAATAGATTTGTGACTAACTTGATTTTCTTTTGCATCAAAGGTCCATATAGCATCATCCTTATGAATATCCCAATACAAATCCCGATCAAAATAAACAGTCTTGTCTCCATTCTGTTGAAGGATAATAATACGAATATGTTTGCGTTCAATATTCACGGATACGTCACGAGCATTCACAACATTGTCTGGTATCTATGCACGAAAAAAAGTTGATTTAATTCACAAGTACTTTGATTTTAATATCAATATCTTTGACAGTTTGACTCCATGTATAATTATCTCTTACAGCACCATTATAGCAATCTGCATCTGCCATGTATACTTCCGGTTCATCACTACTACTAAGTAGAATGGATTGAATTCGCAAAGCCACTTACCACTCTTTGTCTTCAGCAGTTCCTGGTAATGAGATTGGAACTTTCGATGAACTTTCAGTTTTATTGTCATCTGAAGGTGGTACAACAACAGGATCGGCTTGTGTTAAGTCTTTTTTAGCAACTTCTTTTGGGAATTCTGAAGATTAAATAACAATGATAATAATAATAATCTTACTTTTGGGTTTATCGACTAATGTTTGTGCTTCATGGTGTTGCTGATAATTCTCAAATATTGTTTTGTATTTTTCATAAGCCTTAAAAATTATTTTGAGGGTAAAACACATACCTGAAGAACCATTTCAATACACCTACCGGGTGGAAAGCCTATTTTCTTTTGTTCTGGTGTTATAATACAATAAAAATCAGTTCTGAAAACAGCAGTGTTAAATTGACATCAAAATTGTTTACCTACCTGCGCATTAGAAACCCGAATATTACGTCTAGAAACCTCTCCAACTTTCCCTCATTCTGCAAAATGCCTAGTAAGGCATTATCATATTGAGGATTCATGCTTTAACCAGTGTATAATGGTCTACAACAACAACAAAAATGTATAAGTACAGTAGAAACATGCATAACTTAGTCTGATTGCTCAGAATGATATACGTATGATTTTAATAATAATAATATTAATAATAATAAGCTTTATTCCAAAACAATATTTGCGAATACAGAATGGAAGTCTCAGCATTTCACTACAGTATTGCATCCAATTAGTACATTAACAATAAATAAAATTCTACATAGATTATGGGCAATCTCGGTTAGTTTTGACAACAACGTATTAGCATATCAATAGCAAAGCCAAAAATTGAACAGTATTTGAAGGTGTCAGAAAAGTAGATGCTAGCGCATTTACTGGCGTAAGCGGTAACAAAAAGGTCGAGATATACAGAGTGTGAAAGAACGAAGAAGAATGTTTTAAGTAGAGTTTGTAAGGAAGAGAGAAACAAAATAGCACATAACAAAAAAAGAGAAAGGGAAAAAAAGAAATAAGACGTTGTACCTGCAAATCATATGAGTTGAAAAGACGAGATCCAGTTGTTCTACTGACTATGTAATAATTTATAGTTATCACGCTTAATGCTTTCTTTATCGCACAGAACACGAGCCAAACAGGGTATGATTGAGTTTTTGTACTTACTAGTGTGAGCATAAAGTTTTCTATATAGGCTTCTGGTTTGCCTGCCTGATGATATACAAGGGGAGAGTTGTGAGTGAAGAGGGTGTTGTGAGTTAGATAAAATGGATTTCGCCCATTTTCCATATGAGTCCATGTGCCTGTCAACTAGAATATTAACAAGCTGGTTAAGTGGAACGTTGCTTACCCCCTGCTGACAACCTTTAACATCCTGTGTAATAAGGTATAGTCTTTCTTCAGTAACCCAGGAAAAACTAAGGGGGAACAAAAGGCAGGAATAATAGGCAGAATACAGGAGTTAACGACAATGATTTTCCAACGTAGGCTGAGACAAAAGACGTGCCAAATGAAACAAATCTCAAGGTGTCTTGCGCGAAATGAAGTTTTTCTATGCATTTTATTTTGTCAGAAAATACATGAGTACTGCACGCTTCTGAAGTACTAGATTACCTTGAAAACTGACAACAATCAAAAAAATGTATAGCATGTTAGTGCTGAGAATTTAGTATGAACTGCATATCATCTCACTATGCAACTCCCCATTCAGATATCTAATATAGTGAAGTAAAATTAGGGGAAAATAAGAATTGTCACTCAGTAACAATTTCCAGTTGTCTGGTACTGGTGAAACACTTTCTGGCTACAGAAATTTCTTTAGATGGAGCATGACTGTAGACGTTATATGTATGGTAATATTTTTTTGCATTTGCAGCCCTATATGCTAAATATTTGGGGCAGTAGATAATCAACATTTAAACTTAAACAAAAACCAAAACACCATTAGTTTATGCTTCCTTGCAAGCATATTGACTGATAAGTAAGTAGTAGGTCTACACATGCAAATGCCTTTCTTGCTTAACTTATTTGTTCATGCTGCCATTTCTGTGTGAGGAAATTATCTCGGGTCTTGTGTGACCTCTCATAAACTGGCTTTGATGACTCCTCAGTTTGTGTTCTAAATCTCCCCAGTAGACGTGTTTTGCTACTTAGCAAATATGTGATTTATCCTGATTAGGTATCTATGGAAAATCCTGGTATAGATGAGGGCAGAGTCTGTCTGTCTGTCTGGATTCAACATAGAACTTGGCACCGAAGTGCAGCAGTTCGAGTTGCCACGTTCCAAATAGCACACAGAGGTAGACAAGAAGATGAGTGGAGAGAATTAATAGAGTTTGACAAATATAGGAGTGAAACAGAATGGGCAGAGTCCAGTCATCCTGCTGCGATCCCCTTGTATGATAATTCCACAGCAATTGTGAAAGAAGTCCTATTTGTTACTTTTATGGATTAGTATGTAGAAGCGAAATGGTGTCTGTATGAATATTTGGTGCTTATAAAAGGATGGGTGAACACAGTGTCTAGATTGACCTAGTTTGAGTGATACATGGAAACTCTACTGGTTTGTAATCGACCGTCTGTCGCGAATATTCTTCTTTTTACAAGCTCCTTTACCGTATGCAGTAAGTTTCAAGTCAAGGTCACGCAGATACACCTTCCTTCAGATAACTACTTCGCTACGTCATAGTAGTCTATACAATTATTCAGTCTAAACACAAATAAACAGTCATTATAACGAATTCCCGGCTCTGGTCTAACTTTAGAAACTTAAAACTTTCTCCCATTATAAACTATGTTTATTGCATTATAGCTTCCACACACAACCGTATCACTTCTTTTTACTATATTTGATATTTTCATCAGTTGCACCCTTAATTTACTCATCTTGTTAGAACTTGAAATTCCAATACTCGCCGAAGACATTGGCTAGGGGTCGCGCTATGTCGTGAATTGGCAGAAGTTAGAATTCAAGGACCATTGGATCGGGTCCCAGCGGCTTAATGGTACACGAGCTCGCCTTGTAGCCGGAAGGTCCTGGGTTCGAATCCCGGTGGGTGCATACTGCTGAAGAGTCCCAAACTAGGGCGAAACACTTGGCTGTCCAGTACTCCCAGGTTTTCCACTGGTTCTCTAACTAATGTCAGCTCATGATGAAATCCTGAAACCAATCAAACCCTACAAACCAACACTAGAATTCCAATGTAATGTTTCAGCCACTGCGCATCTGCCTGCTCACAGTGGTTCTTCAATATGTGCTAGGTAAACAGGGGAAATCAATCGACGAAGTTGTGAAGTTACAAAGACTGATATGGTTAGGACATGCGTTACGTATGCCTAGTCATCGCCTTCCTCGACAGCATTGTTAGCGGATATAGGGTCAGGCTGGAAAAGAGCTAGCGGTGGTCAAACCAAAACTTGGCACCAGTCAATGAAATCTACAACAGTCAGTCTAAACCACGTAGGAGGGTGTAGACTTCCTGACTGGTTGGGGTCTTCGGGACGGTAGAAACCAATGGTTGGAAACAACAATTGGTGACATGGCTCAAAATCGTTCTCAGTGGCGCAGATGCAGCCACTCCTTGTGACTTATGATTCCAAATGAAACTTTATTGTTCTTCGTTATTACTCTTCCTTTGTCTCACACCTCTGTTTACTGTCTCTATTATGCTTTTCTTGTACTTTCTTCTATTGCTTTACGTGTTGTAAGCAGGGAGTGTGGCGACTTGAACTGCGGCACATATGTGCAGAGTTCTATGTCGAAAACAGAGACAGACAGATCAAGGTCATTCAATACATAGTTCGCCACTTTTAATCCCTTTTAGGAAAAGAAGAATGGGAGAAACTTCAGTGTGTCCGCCATTGATTGCGATTCTCGGTCATACTTGATAATTTCTCAAACCATCTATTCGAATCATGTCTCGTCTGAACCGGCTGAAAAAAGACTGGGACTATTTTAAAAGACTTTGCTGCTATCTTATGCATGGTTTCTTCAGACTTGGCATATTTGGGGATAGGCAAGCAAATGTTCTTATTGTTCTAAATGCATTAAGATATTAAGCTTGTAGTGAGCTTGGAGGGGACACAACGAGAGAAGAGCCATGTCAGATATCGTATTGAAGGACCACTGTCTGTGTGTTTTCGACATAGAACTCTGCACATATGTGCCGCAGTTCAAGTCGCCACACTCCCTCCTTACAACACGTAAAGCAATAGAAGAAAATACAAGAAAAGCATAATAGAGACAGTAAACAGAGGTGTGAGACAAAGGAAGAGTAATAACGAAGAACAATAAAGTTTCATTTGGAATCATAAGTCACAAGGAGTGGCTGCATCTGCGCCACTGAGAACGATTTTGAGCCATGTCACCAATTGTTGTTTCCAACCATTGGTTTCTACCGTCCCGAAGACCCCAACCAGTCAGGAAGTCTACACCCTCCTACGTGGTTTAGACTGACTGTTGTAGATTTCATTGACTGGTGCCAAGTTTTGGTTTGACCACCGCTAGCTCTTTTCCAGCCTGACCCTATATCCGCTAACAATGCTGTCGAGGAAGGCGATGACTAGGCATACGTAACGCATGTCCTAACCATATCAGTCTTTGTAACTTCACAACTTCGTCGATTGATTTCCCCTGTTTACCTAGCACTCGACGCCTAACCTCAATATTGCTCACCTTATTATATCACTTCACATGGGATGTAGATAGAACGCGGACACCTATGATTAAAGACACCTAATCTTTTCATGTCTTCCACTCTCAATAGCCAGGTCTCACTCACAGCCAGTCATAAAGAAGGACGGAGCGGACTGGTGAGCAGCATACTCGCTCTTTGGTCGATAGCCGGATATCACGTCTACGCCAAAGACGGCGTAAACTGGCATAAGCGAAGCTAGCCCTCTGTATCCATGCTGAGATTTCGTCAGAGATCAACCCGTTGGCGCTGGCTGACGCAACTTCCCAAATAAGTGAAGCGGTCAATGAGCTCCATCAACCACTTCACTCCCTATTTCTAATCTAGCAGTCAGTGTGGTCCAGTCCTGTAACATTATCTTACATTTGGCGGGAGCGAATCTCATGCCAAACATTCGTAGATTGCAGCTCAAGGTGTTTAGAAGACTCTGCATTTTTTCAGCGTCCTCGCCTAGAAGGACTATATCGTCTGTATATTCTAAGTCAACGAGATTATTCCCTGGTAGCAAGTCAATCTCTGAGTCGCTGAAGTCACTTAGGGTTAAGTCCATTAGTACATCTATGATGGAGTTGAATAGAAAAGGGGATAATGGGCATCCTTGACGGACACCACTAGTCGTCACCAGTTCAGATGACAACTTGCCGTAAGCCCTCACTGGGCTGTATGAGTACGAGTAGAGTTCCTTAATCAGTGCTATGGATCTTGATAAGTAGATTCATCTATTATTTGATGCTGTCCTTTATTTATTCTACTTCAATTTTTCTATCTTGTTGCTCTACAAGATTGAAAATAACCATGTAATAATAAATTGAAAATATATTGGTCAGCAAAGAATATTCTTTTCGTAAATTGTTGTCAAAG